AAAAACGGGGAGAGGTGGCCCTGGAGGACATGGTTCAGTCCGGTCTACCCTTGATTGGTTTAGAGTAGACTTGGTAGTGTAGGTTAATGGTTGGACTGGATGATCTTAAAGGTCTTTTCCAACCTAAACAATTCTATGATTCTATGATTCTATGTCCACAGCGGAGCAGGAGGACCATTCCTGTTCCTCATGTCCATGCTCTGACTCAACCAACAGAGAAAATAGTCATCAAACCCACCATCGCTATATTTAGCACTATTTTTCCATCACTTCTCAGTGAACAGGAGCCAGATCTGCAGCCGGTGATGATGAGAGGGCTGTGGGGTCACCATGCAGAGGGACGGGGGCCCTGTGCTACCGCTGCTGCACCCAACGGGGAGAGGGGTTGAGGAATCGTGGGGAGAGGGAGCAATCTGGCATTGGAGCACCGGCACGGCTGTGCGTGCCAGCGTATTCTGTCCAAACAGATAATTGTCTTTGTTATTGCAAACAAGAGTGCTGGGGCTTTGGAAGTGCTCTTCTCTTGGCATGCTGTCTGGAAACAGAAACCATACCGTGTCCTTCAGGGAGTTACAACGTGGCATGATTAGCTGATATGAAATAAGAACTCTGCAAATGGATCAGAAGATTTTTGATTAAAAGAAAACTTTTGTAATTTAGAAAATTAATATCAACATCAAATAACCTGAAAGCTATGAAAAAAGGCTAAACAAATGAAGCTGCTGTGCTGGTATGCACCTGGATTTTTATATTGGCTCCATGAAAGTTAGTCTTTGAATTTTGCAGATGAAGAAATTGAGCACCAACCTGGGGACCGTGAAAAGTTTTTCCAAGCATCATACAAACAAGAAATAAAACATGGGCTGCTAAGACAAATTTACCTCCTTTTGGCTTTGTTTTGAAACAAACATCAGCTTTCTCAGCTGGGTGAAGGAGAGATTTGTTCTGCTAATGGCACTGGAGTGTGTTTGCTTTGTGAACATGGAATTAAATGTGGGTGATGATGCAAAGTCTATTGAAATTGCACAGCCTGAATAACCCTTACCTGGGAACATCTGCACCGGGGCAATCTCGGGGATAAAACTGAGATAAGCTCCCAGTGCACTCTGTGGTGGTGGTGTTTCCTGGCTGAAAAGGTGAGGGTGCTCCTGAGCTCGGGTTGAAGAACAGGGATATTTCCTTCCCAGACAGCTGAGGTCAGGGGTGTCTGGAAGGCGGCAGGCGTGGGGACTGCACTGTTGGGACCCTGCAAGAGGAGGGGGCTGACCCTAGCTGTGGGTGTGCACGGCTGGCAAGAAAACCACAAAAGGACCCAAAAGCTGGTGGGAATGGGGTGCGAAGCTTCAGGGTGCTTTGCACCCCTGAAGCAAGCCTGGCAGGAGAGAGAGGGGTGTTCACTGAAACGGGGGAGCGGAGAGGGTGGGTGCCTGGGAGCTTTGCAATGGGGCTGGCGATGCCAGCCCACAAGCAGCCAGCTGTGGTGGTCGTCTCGGATGGAAATGGTCCTGGAGTCCCCTTAGCCCGGATTTTCCCATGTTGTCCTTCCCATGCCCCAGGGACTAGGTTGGCTGGGGACTGTGGAGGCGAGGAAGCCCGAGCTCAGCTCCAAGGGAGGTGCCCCCTCTCCAGGCCGTTGCTGCTCACTCTGACATCAGCAGTGATGTCATAGCACAGGGGCGGCTGTATGGCAGTTCTGCGTGGGCAGGAGGCCACAGTGGGACAAGGAACATGGGGGGACTGCTCCGGTGGTGAGCGAGCAGAGCAGCTGTGCAACATCTGGCTGGTATGTGCATTCGGTCTGCACTGTGGGGAGAGGCGCTCCTTGTCTCTGTGTCACTGCTCCCTCCCAGCAGCTGTCACCATAGCAGGGGCAACAGCCACCCCCCTGTTTTAGCTGGCAGCCATTGCCCCCTCTTGCTTCCCACCGTCCGCTAGCACCTCTGCTTTTCAACAGACTGAAGTGCAGTCCTGGTCTCAGAGCCACCACATCCAAAAGCAAAGGGGAAGAGGTCAACCTGTTGTCCCCATGGATTCCTCAAATATCATCAAAGTGACTGTGAAGACTCTCAAGCAGAAGGAGCAGTTTGAGGTTGCTCAGAGCAGCACCATCCAGGAGTTTAAGGAAGAAGTTGCCAAGCGTTTCAAAACACCCCCTGATCTGCTGGTCCTGATATTTGCTGGGAGAGTCCTCAAGGATCAAGACACTTTGAGCCAGCATGGAGTTCACAGCGGAGTCAGCATCCACGTGGTCATCAGGTCCCAAAAGAGACCGCAGGATGGCCTGGCAGATCAAGGAAGAGCGATTAACCTGATGCAACCTCCCAGCCACAGTAATTCCAACTTTTTCTACTTGGGAAGCATAGCTGATCTGCAAAACCCATGCTTGCTCCATCATAATTTATCTGAGCTGTTGACCTCCAGCCAGGAAATAGTGGCCCAGACCATGGAGAACCTCTTGTCTGAGATCCTCAGTTCAGGATTGGATCTGAACACCATCACCAACAACACATTTTTGCTAGGATTCCTCCTTGGGGTGACAGGTGTACATCTCCTAGGCCTGGACTCAACGGACATGATGGACTTGGTGAGTAGCATTCAAGAACAAGATGTGTCCATGCACAGCTTGATAAGCGAGATGGTGCAGAGCACCTTCATGCAGAACATCCTTGACAATGCCGATCTCGTCAGGGATCTCATCATGTCCAACCCTCAGATGCAGCAGCTGGCTGAAGAAAACCCCGAGATCAGTCAGATTCTCACCAACCCACAGACTATCAGAGAAATATTAGAGGCCTCCAGCAGTCCTGCCGTAATGCAAGAGATGATGAGGAACCACGATGTGGCCATGAACAACCTTGAAAGCATCCCTGGTGGGTACAGAGCTCTGGAGCAGATGTACAGGGAAATTGAGGAGCCCATCTTGGATGCTGTGCAGGCACAGCTGGGCAACAACCCCTTTGCTTCCTTGGACAGTAGCCCACCCCCGAGTGGAGCCAGGCTACCAGCTCATACCGAAAACCGGAGGCCATTGCCCAACCCTTGGGCTCCGCAGTTCAACGGAGTCAGTGATAATGCAGCTGACTATGACGGCCAATTTGCCAGCAGCAGCGCAAGCGACCGTTTTGCCTTGCTGAGTTTGGGTCCTGCAGCAGGTGCAGTGGTACCCAACTCAGGGGAGGTTTAGAGCATGGTTACGACGCTAACAGGAAACCCAGAACTCATGCACAACCTGGAGACCGCGTTAACAAACCCCAACAGCCCAGCACAAATGCTGCTGAATAGCGCTCCTATATCAAGCGATGGAAATTTTCCACCTCAAGACCAATGGGCACAGCAGCTGCCACCGGAGATGGAGAACGCTGAGATTTCGTCCTTGCTGAGAAACCCCAGAGCACTGCAGGCGCTGCTACAGATCCAGCTGGGATTACAGACCCTCTCAACAGAAGTACCAGATTTTATACTTAGTTTGCAGGACTCGCATGGGGAGCTGGATCTGGAAAGCATGGACAACTCGACACAAAGCAGTAAGTCTGAGGACGATGCGATTTTGGCGTCAGACGAGGATGACGTAGAAGGTCAGACGGAGATGGATGAGGAGCAGCCACAGACCAGATTTAAGAGTCAAATGGAGCAGCTCAGTGCCATGGGCTTCCCGGACCAAAGTGCAAACTTGCAGGCACTGATTGATGCAGAAGGAAATATCAGTGCAGCAGTGGAGATACTGGCAAAAGCACCATCATCAAACAAGATACCGTAACTGGTTGGTCAAAATTAACCCATTATAGTACCTCATTTGCTGATGGTTGTATTTCAGTCTCATCACACACTAAAAGCAGCAGGGTGCATATTAAGAAGCTGTGTGCTGTAGCATTCTTCCGTCTATGAGAATTAATCTCCTCTTGGCTGCAAGGATTTCTTGCATTTAAAAGCAGTAGATGTGAGGACCTTTCTGTGTTGTGAAACTCCGAGGGCACACCCTACCTGAATGTGCTGCTGCCCCTTTACAGATAGAGTCTGTGATCCAGGTGTGTATGCAGGGAAAAAACATGCCAAGAAAAGAACCAGGGAGGGAAAATATGCTTTTTTACATGTTAGCAACTGAGATCCAGAGATGCTGAAGACCAGGTGATAAATGAGCTTGGCTCCCATTTGGACTCCAAAACAAACAGTGGCAGAGCTGCTTTTTTTTTGAAATCTGGCCCTACGGAAGAGAGGCAGGGAGTATGTGAGCCATCTAATTCCTGTCACTGCAGGCACCAGCCTCTCCTCAACTGAGCAAATGCTGTTTAGAAAGTCAGTCTGTCATTTCTGCCACTGCTTCTCCTACGGGAGTGAAGTCCACGAGGGCTACGGTAACTGTCAGTGATGGGCAAAGTCAGATATTCATCCTGAATACATTCACAATTGTTTTTTACCCACCTATTGTTGCACAGAAGTTTTTAGTTTCATGCACCAGTTCAGAGCTTCTTCCGTTAGCAAATCATAATCCCTTTGTGCTTTGCTCAATGTCACACGCGGGACCAGGGATTAAGGCATCTTCTCCAGACCCTTCCTCAGGACCAGAGCTGAGCGTCTTTGCGAGTCGTGTCCCCTTTGCTTTGCTGTGTGCGTCTGAGGCTGTGAACAGGGTTGTGCCCTACGCAGCCACAGCTGCCTTATCTCTGTAACACAAGCTGTGATACCTGATTGGGAGCTTTAGGCATTCAAGCTTTGCTGCCCATCACGTCTCAAAACCGCGTCCTGGCCAGCCCTGCTGCTGCCCCAGGGGAGATGGAGCAGCTGGGGCCGGCTGTGCTCCTCTGGACCTTCTTCCCTTCTCCCAACCCTTCCTGGTGCGAACAAGGTCAGGATCAGCCCAGACCCCTTTCCTTCGCCCCTCTGTTCAGTTTTCCACCAGTCCCATCACATCCCTCCCTTCCTCAGCCATCCCCTCGACCCTGCCACCCGAGCTCTGAGTGTCCTCCTTCCTGCTCTGGGTTTCCCACTCATTTCTTCTGCAAGCATTTTCTCTCCCAGCATCCTTCCCTCACACTATGTCCAGTGAGAGGTTTTCTACCTGTTTCTTTCACCTCCTCCTCCACCTGCCCCATTTATGGTTCTTCAGCCGTTCTTCTCATGCCAAATTCAGAGTTTTCTGTGTCCTGTCTCTCCTTGCTATTTTGCGTCTTGTTCCTTCTTTCTCCCTACGCCCTCTTTTTTCACCTTTCTGGAGGTGATTGGAGGATTGGTCCTGGGGAGATGGGCTTGGTGCTCAATGGACTGTGGCTGGAAAATGCCCCTCTCTCATGGCAGACCTCATTTGTGAGTATGCATGTGCCAGCAGCCGTGCTTCTTCTGACCTGCTGGGATAAAGCTAGTTCCCTATGACAGCCTTAGCCTCTGGCAGCAGCTGACAAGCTGATCTTGGTCATGTCCTCTCTTTACTGATGGACAAAAGCTTCAGCCCTGCCCTCTCCCCTCGGCCACAGGAATGTAGTTTATCCCGGGGCTGGTGATCCCAGGTTCGTGGGGGTCTCCATGCAGCAGCCACGGCCTGAGGAGTGAGTTAGCTGCACCAAGTCAAATCTTTGCAAACTTCCCCGGTGGTTAAAACTGCCACCGATGCTTCAGGATCATGCTGCTGTGAAATGCCTCTGCTTGGGACCATGCTTGAAGACTCAGATGACGATGGCTGCCCCTGAAGTCATGAGAGGCTGAACACGTGTGCAGAGCCTGTCTGACCAGTGTTGGGCTGTTTGGCCAAGGCTGATGCTGGAGTGAGATAGGTGTGGGTGGCAGACACCAAAATGTAAGGGTCTAGACGCGAGTTGTGCGTCCAGCCTCCTGCTGCAGCCAGTGGAGACCTTGGCACGGCTCTGTTCTCATGTGGCGGAGCCCAGCACCACTGGAGATGCCCTTGGGCATCTGAGACATCCACATGGGGTTGGTAGATGTGACACAGGACCTACAAGATGCCTGTGTCCCTCCAGATCAGTGGCTGGAGATAAGGAGGAATAGAATAGGGCACCTCAGAAAGTGCGTTAAAAATCAATGGAGCACTTACACGCAAAAGATTGGTGGAACAAAGTATTTCTTTAAAATGTTTGTGTTTCAAATTCAAGCAGTTTTAAGGTTTCAGTTACAAAAAAGTGCTAAAATAATTAGCTATTTTAAACACATTTTAACTTTTTTCTTATAAATATTTTGGTAAACCTGGGAGGAACTCATGATACATGAAGAAATTCATGAATATAGATATTTTTTCCCCACAAAAATGACCTCCTGACTTTGCTCAGCTTCAGTATGGGGTTTTTGGTGTGATTTGGCCGTTGCTGGAGGACTGTGGTCCCTTGCAATCTGTGTAGTGGGGAGCATAAGGACCATTTGTGTTTGCAGGACAGCATGAGCTCTGCCACTGCTTCCACGTCCTTCTCTCTTCTCCTTGTCCATGGAGGCAGCTGGGCTGATAAACTTCAGCTGTCTATCTCGTTAGCAAGCTGGTCCTCATCCCTGGGAGCTGGGCTTTTTTAAAGGTGCCTGGGCACCTGAAGACGTGGGTGCACCACTGGAAGCCTGGCAGGCAGAGAACAGCCTGTGTCTGGGGTGCTTACTACCCTCCGAAACAGGGGGCTGATCCAGCTCGGGGCACTGCCAGCTCCTGCGCCCGGGGATCATTCGAGAGTCTGCTGGCTGAAACCTGCCTGGGAAATGCTGTCCCACCTATTCGTACAGATGGCTGAGCGTCGGTGCCCACCGTGTTCGCTGGCACTGGCTCCTTCCCTGGCACAGGCAGCAGTGGCAGACAATTCCAGGCACACATCTGCAGCCTGGCCAGGACAACGAATATCATCTGCCCGGTGTCACCCTTGGTAGCACTAACAGCGCTTTTCTAGGTCCCTGAAACAGCAATGCCACTGCAGCATCGATCCAGCCATCCTGCAGCTCTCTCAGCCGCCTGTGCCGGCCCTGAGCTCTGACACAGCCAGGCACCACGTCTTGTTTTGTGTAGCAATCCCAAATACCTGCAATGCCTGCAATCTGAAACAAGACAGCATGGTGGGACTTCGGCCTTGGGGGTTTTATGCATGTTGAATGCTGTGCTCCACAATTGCTCTTGTGGAATTATTTTTTTTTTTATGGTCAAAACCTTCCTGTTTTTCTTCAGGTGTGGGTGTGCTGCTGAGCCTGTGACTTCCACAGCTGCCTCTGCTTGGAGGCTAATTTGTACTGAAATGATTCAGCCTGCAGAAAATAGTTCCTGCAGACTGATGTGTTTTTAACCCTACGTATGGTGAGATTCCTGAGGGGCTGAAGGGAGGGGTGGTCACCGACTGACCTGGGGGAAGCGTCCAGTCATTCATCCAAGGAGAGCTCCTAAGCCCCAAACTCTTCCTCCCATCCCCTAGAGGAGCACAGCCCATGGATTGCCTCTCTCATTGCTATGGGGAAACTCTTCCAAATTCCTTTTATTGCATTAGTCACCAAGAGAGTTATGTATCAAGCTCAATAATCTATTCAAACCATGGATTGCTCTTTATACATATGTGCTAAGATATTTGCAAAAGTAATTGCATCGAGTTTGTACGTCTGGATGCTCGGCACTTTTGATAAGTCAGACCGCTTTTTTAGGACTCACCACGCCTGTTTTTCCAAAGCTTGACTGTGTCTTGCCACAGCCTGCAGCTACGTCACATCGGTCCAACCAAGGCCCTGAGGACAGGAGATGCAAAGCAGCGCGGGTATAATTGTGTGCTTGGTGGGAAGGGAGGCAGGGCAGGTGCAGAGCCACGCATTAGGGACCTGCGAGTGTGTCTGCAGAGAGCAACATGCTTATAATGTGTGCGGTGCGAAGGTGGGGCTGGAGGAGACATCCAGGGCACGTCTCCTCAGCTGGAGGGCACTTACGGAGCTGCTGAGCTTCCTCGCTCCTCTGGGATCCTGCAGAGAGGTACAAGTGCCCCCACCACCCCGGCTCCGGCACTGCAGCCCCTGCCCGGAGCGCAGCCAGCCTTCCTCTTAAGGTCAAGGATCTGGTGAGCTGTTTGCATCTGGGTTTGGGGCCAGAAGGATCTCTAGGATGTTGTCTGGCGCAGAGATGCCAAATTCCTGGTTAACAATAAACATGTGAAGAGCCTTCCCTCGCCACTCTCTAACTGAGATTACGTGGTTTTGAGAGCTGGGGTTGCTGAGTTAAAGATGACGGGG